CTAATATCAAAAATCACTTCATAAAACAATCTACGTGTTAACAGACGGAGGAGGCCAATGTGCCTCTTTTCTTTACCTTTGAATACCTTTAATCCTATTTCACTTCTTATCACTATAAAAATAGACAAGAATTTTTATAGAAATGGTCGTACTAAAACCGAAATTCGATTAATACTACAAGATTGAAAGAACTTCTGTTGATAATAAATTCGGGTGTGAGGACAAATACTCGCCGAAGACATTGGTTAGGGGTCGCGCTATGTCGTGAATTGGCAGAGGTTAGAATTTATGTGCTGGTCATTGGATCCGATCTCAGTGGCTTAATGGTATACGAGCTCGCCTTGTAATCAGAAAGTCCTGGGTTCGAATCCCGGTGTGTGCGTACTGACGAAGAGTCCCAAACTAGGACGAAACAGCTGTCCAGTACTCCAAACTGGTTTTCCAATGGTTCTCTAACTAATGTCAGCTCATGATGAAATCCTGTAACCAAACCATATCCCTACAAACCAACACTCGAATAAAATTTTTAAAACGAATACGGTATTAAATCAGTGGTGAATTTTAAAGACACTTATCATCTATGAGGCAAAAGAAAATTTAGGCAAGAATATTCTTTTCGATATTTCCCTCTTCCAGCTCTATAGTTATACATATATATATATATAAAGAGAGAGCATTCTAGAACGATCGTCATTAGAAAAATTGTTTCTTAAATACTATCGGTATGTTAAGATCGGTGATATTACAGTTCAAGAAAGATGCCTAAGTTATAATAAGCATAAAAATATAATTGCAGATAGCATATCAAGTAAAATTAACGAAATCTCTACAACACATTAAGGATGGAGTCCTCATAAGTTCCCCGTTGGGTCTCATTTTGTCAGATTTCTTCCTAAGTAAACTAGAAAACAGACCTCTGAACAATATTATCATAACATTCTCATTTCATTGTCGCCATATGGATGACACCTTTATTCTTTGTGATAATGATTCAGATAGAAACACAAAAATAACTGAATTCAACAAAGTACATTCTGCTATAAAACGCATGTATGAAGAGGAATCCTAAAACAGAATTGCCTTCCTGGATGTCCTCCTTACAAGAAAACCAAATGGTAGCATAAAAAGAAATTTACATAGGAAAGATACATGGACAGGACAATATACACATTTCCACAGCTTCATTCCTGTCCAGTACAAAAGAAATTAAGTAGAGGGCCTCAGTCACAGGGTTAGGACCAAATGCTTAAATGAAGTAGTTGAAGATGAATTAAGTATTGGATATGACACGCTGATTGAAAATAGCTACCCGGACAAATTTATCAAGAAACACATGACAAAGAAAGCGGAAAAGAACTACTCACTATCCGTAAATAAGAAGCCTTTATACATAAGACTGCAATTCTAGGGCGATATACCAGCAAAATAACTACAAAGAAATCAAGAAAGTCAGTCCAGAGAACTTTAAATGCTGGCAAACTACACGTCTTATTCTCTACACGGTCGATGGTTATTCCTCCACTGAAAAATGGAGAACCTAGACTAGTTAGTCACTTCAAACTGTATCTACCAATTCAACTGTGCTTGTGGAGAGAGCTATATCGGCCGTTACCCTGGGAACTTGATTTTTGTGCTCGAGAACATCTACCACTATGGCTAAGTAAAGGTGTAGTTAAAACCATTAACAGTTCGATACTGGATCATCTGGTGTAAACCGGCCACAAAGCCAACACTGGAGAATCCTTCCCTATAATCTACCGGGTGCCAAATAAATTGCCAAAAACATCGAAGTACCGCATGCTTCAAATAACAGAGGCTATTTCAATTTGCGTGAAACAACCACTGCTTTATATGCAAAAGAAGCGAGGTCAGCCACTTATACTGCCTTGGCCTCCAGTAGAGACTATAAATTCATGAATTTGTAATAGTATCTTTCCTAATTTTTCTGACATTCAGCTTATTATTTTATGTTGATGCTATTGAGCTGTAACCTATCAATATTAATCATTCGATGTTATTTAAACAACATTACTGTCGTTCATAACACTAATTCATTCATTCGCCATAATGCTTACATAACTGTAGAACCTGATGATGAAGTCATCGAATATTCTTTGTTCAGTAATCATTCTTTTGAAAATTAAGGATCAATAAAAACTTGATGGCTAAGGTAAAGAAACCGTTTCAACCAGTTTCTTTTGGATACACAGATTACACTAATTAATACAGTTTCTAACAACCTCAGTAATATGTATTAGCCGAACTGTTGAGGTAAAATTAAGCTTAGTTGGTATACGATATACGACTCTGAAAGCCTTGTTTACATCAATTTTGTTTTCTGCATCTTCGAGATGAGACAGTATAGAACTATGAAGATAACATACTAATAATAAAAATAAGATGAACCTGTGTTGTAAAACTGAAGGCGGAAGATTTCGATCAGCGAGTTTACTAGGTGAGCATTCGCGTTGCTGAAGTCTTTTGTTTAAATCAATAACAGTAGAGTGTACACAGTGAAACAACACTAACCGACTACAGAAAAAAAAACTAAGAATTAGGAAGTAGATGTAAAAAGATCAAAACTACTGTTATATTTGCGCTAAAGTAAGAAACAAGGAAATGGGACAAGAAATAAACAAGAAGATATCTAAATTTATGGACTGTTATTGCTCACGCAAATAGTCATGTTAACTGACTTAGTAGTGTTATATATATGTAAGAATTTGAAAGGTTTGCATATATCGAAGAGATTTCAATGATGAATGTATGAACAGTGTTAAGCATTACTTATAAATAGTAGAACTAAACAAATATTTATATATATTCGTTTGTAAACACGAAAAAAAAATGATTCGACAAGCCTTACACGGAAAACAAAAATACACAGAATGTATACATTTTAAACCAACTTACTTATGGACTAAACATCTTACAACAAAATAAGATTGAATCTGTTTTAAAAAAGATCAAAAGAATCTTGTAAACTAGTGTCATTTGTTTTGCAGAGATAATACGAACGGCAACTGTTCACGCTGGTAACACTGAATGAAGTAAAAGTAAACATGTTCACAAAATAAGGCAGTTTTCATTGTTGTTTTTTTTTATTTTTGCTTTGTTTTTTTCTTAGCTATGAACAGCCGAAATATGCGATAGGCTGCCCTAACTGTGCTTATTTTGTTCACTCACATTCTTGCATTTTATTTTCATCTGAAATACCTGATTCTTAGTTTTCGCTATTGTTCATGGTTGGAGTTGTGAGTGTGACCTTAGGTTTGACTCCCCACATTCTGCTGTCATTACCAAAACTTAGAACTAAATAGCCTAATAAATTTAACACGCTAAAATGAGTTTCTGTTAAAAAGCATCTTGTGAACGACTGACAAAACCCACTTGATTACTAGTGAACAAACAAATCTGTATTTCCTACCATTTAGAATGTTTAAGAAGTTGTAAGATGACAATCAAAGCAGTTTAGCATGGAAGTGATCCATGAATCCATAAAATCTCTATGTGCCTAAGTTTGCAATCACTTGGTTAGAATGCAGTTAACAGAATGTCTCTATCCATGCTGACGTGTTTGGAAACCTATCTGGTGAAATCTGTGACTTACATAGGAATACCAGAAAAGTCAGCAAATGCCAGGCGACAAGAATCCTTTATCCATTGTAGATATAGTATAATACCGGTTTCTAAAGTTGTGGGAGTTGTGTAAGAAATTTGTCAGTGGTTAAGTTGACATTTAAGCATAACCATACTTCCTTCATGTGAATTCAAAATCAAATCTGAAATAAATTGCTAATCTGAATATTTTATTTCAACTTTAAACTGTGCATTTAACAAATACACATATATGAAAAGCATTTAAAGCCTAATTGTCGAATTTCGTAGTAGTTTCAATGCTACATTATTGGTTGATGTTGGTGTGATGCCTATATGAATTTTAAATGATCAGGGAATTTATTACTCCTATAAAACGTAGTTATGCGTCAGACAGTGGGAAACGAGCAGACAGGGATATCCTGGACCGACGTGGATGATTTATATTTGATGTCACACAAAATCGAAGACTTAGAAGCAAAAATCGACAAACTGGTCGAAGAAGCAGTAAAGACAGGACTCCAGGTGAACATAGAAAAGACAGAGGTGATGAAAATAACCAACCACCACCACCACCAACAACAACAGCAGCAACATCCAGCGCCAATCACCATCAACGGGAGGGAGTTGAAAGAGGTTACTTCATTCACTTATCTATGGAGCATTGTCTCAACTACAGACAGTCGGAACAGGCGAGAATGTCAAATCGAGAATCGGAAAGGCGAGAGATATATTCATTCATCAACCTGAAACCAATCTGGAAATCTTCGTCACTCAGCCAGAATCAACAACAAAATTCGGTCGGATTTTCAATACAAACGTCAAGTCAGTCAGTCCTCCTATACGGATCAGAAACTTGGCGGGCGGATCACAAGGAATATTTCAAACAGCCTGTTGCAGATCTTCATCAACAACTAACTGTCTTCGCTGGCTCTATACTGAAGATCAGATGGCCGGGCCGGAAAGAATCACCTGCAAGAAACTATGGGAACAAACAAAACAAGAACCAATCGCCAAACAACAAATATGCAGGAGAAACTGGAGATAGACTGGACACTCGTTGAGGAGGCCGCTGGATGACATCGCGCGCGCGTCAGGCCATTGCTCGAGTGGAACCAGGCCGAAAGGGAAGCAAGCAGCGAGTGGGACGTCAGTGTAAGGGTGACATGGAGGAGATCATGTGAAGAGGAGTTGCAACAGTATGGACTAGCATGGATGCAGGTGAAAAGTACAGCAGAAGACAGAAGTGGCAAGTGGAGACGTGCAGTTGAAGCCCTATGTTCTACTAGGAACCCAAGGGAACAATAAAATAATAATAAAACGTAGTCGTATAACTAGTTTAGTGAAAGGAGAAAATGAACCACTAACAAGTGCTAATAAAAACAATGTAACGCAAAACTTACAATTTTCAAATAGGATCTCTCCCACAGCTAACCATTGACTATTAAAAAATATTCTCAACTCAACAAACTCTCCTAATCCAAATACATTTATTTCTTTTGATTCATTTTTATCATTTGACAGTTGCCGTACATTAGTTGGCAAGTGTTTTGTAACAGACTGTACTGCATAGTTTGTTTCAAGTATCTCATGTATTGGTAGGGTGATCCAACGTGAGTCAGTATTCTGTTTATCCGGTGTTATCTGATAAACAATAGATGATGACCATGGATTTAGATACTGTTCCTTTTGTTGACTACTTCGCTTTTGATTATGATTTCCATAAGAATAATAATAAAGTGATGGATCTTGAAAACTAAATCCAACTGTGATATTTCGTGGCACAGTTACACCAACTAAAAAGTCATTGGAAACATACAACCATATTGAAGAGAAGTTATAAATCATATCAAATCGAAAAATGATACGAACAAAATCTGATTCCATTGCAGTATTATAATTTGAGGTGACTGAATCTGCAAGTGATTCGGTTGATGGAGTGTTAGTGCTTAATGGTTTTTCTGTCAACTTTCTTCGCCATCCAACAAATTTATGACTTGAGAAGGGACTGAAATGAAAACAAAACGGTGTAATTTAAATGAACTATCATTCTTCTCAGAAATGCGTTTGTTTTTGTAAGAAATTGTACATACTTCATTATGTAGAAAATGTTATCTTCTTATTTTCTAAATTCTAGACAACTCATTGAGCATGAAATGCACCCAACTTGTGTGTTCTGTCTATACCCCCAAATTGACGGAGTCGCCATGGAAAGCCCACTGGGTCCGATTCTGGAAGATATTTTTATGGGTAGTCTAGAATAAACAAGGTTAACATCCGCAATCAGTCAGACAAACTTCTATACCAGGTATGTCGATGACACCTTTGTTATTTGTAATTCCTTCAATGATGCATTTCAAGTGTTAAAAGTCTTGAACAGCGCCCACCCTAATATTAAGTTTACAATTGAGTGTGAAAAAGAGGATAAGTTCCATTTTCTTGACTTGGGTATCCAACGAGATAAAGACGGCAAAATCATAAGATATATACACAGAAAAGAGACCTGAAGGGTGATTCATCTTAACTTCAAAAGCTTCTGCCCTATAAGTTATCAAAAGGGATTAGTGAGAACATTATTTGATCATGTGAGGCAACTGTATTCAAAAGAAAAGATTGAGGAAGAGCTATCCATTGTGGAGAAATGCCTACGCTACAACGGCTACCCACAAAAGTTCATTGACAAGTATGGGAGACGTCATGTTGAAAAAGTGAAAAGCAGTGCAGTAGAGAAAAAGCCTATGTTTCTGCAGCTTGCATTCAAAGGTGATGATACTGCTAGCAGAATAAGATGCAGACTGAACACTGCCCTGAAAAGAACATATCCAGCCGCCAAGCTTGTATGCGTTTATCAAACAACTAGTTGTTTGAGATAATCAAAAGTGGACAAATACCCACCTCATGTTACCTCCAACTGTGTCTACCAATTTACATGTACGTGCCAAAGCACATATATCGGAAGAACAGAGAAAAGGGTTAGTGTCCGCATCTATGAACATATACCAAAGAACTTGAGACTGAAAGGTCCACAAGCATTAAACAGTGCGATTGCTCGTCATCTATTGGACACTGGTCATATTGTAGACAACCTGAAGTCGTTTAAAATGATCAACAAGCAAAAGAAACCTAGCTTGCTACGCTTTGCTGAAGCGATTGCCATCAAACGACTTAAACCAAATCTATGTACGCAGAAAGAGCCAGTGGTGAATCTTGCACTGCCCTGCTGATAACAAAAAACATACAACTTTCATGTTTAGAAAACTCTACTCCCTCATCTAAACATGACTCACCCTACCATGTTTCTTTTCTGTCCTTTTTGCTATTGGCTATTAGATGAGACGTTTTCTTTAGTTACGTCATCTACTCTTTCTAGTTAAACCTTGTTTCTATACACACACACACATATATACGCAACCCTGTTTTTTTTGTTTCCAAGCCTAATTGTCTAATTATTCTATAAATAGTCAGTGTTCGTAACTGCTAATCAGTTAAATCATTCCGACTAATGTTACTTTTAATTCCTACCAATTACTCCTTATGATAGTGGAAAAGTATGTTCATATCTTTAATGTAATTCATATTTTTTAACGTTCAGGTTGTAACCACTTGAGAAGAATCCTCAAAATAATAAAAGATAAGCTCAAATTATCCTGGTACAATTGTTGTTCTTGCTTTGTTCAAGTTTATTAATAGGAAGAATTGCATAAAGTTTTCAAATTTATTGTATCGTACTCCACCATTGAAAATAATCATAATGTTTTTAAACTGCTATTACTAGTTCATGGTAATAACTATAGAGTGGGTCCAACCGCCACAGCTCACAGTTTTGTATAAGTAGGGAAACACTATCGGATATCTTTTTAAAACTGAAATGCTACAGTTCAACATCCCACAGACCATCTGTTTAACTACTTTTTTTCTGATGAAACTCAACATATGTTATTTGCTTCTTTCCCACTAATCGCCACCAGTTGTTTCTTATGTATTATTCAGTATTTTACACAATCAGCCATTAGAAATAGGTGACAAAAGCGTTTCTAAATGAGCTGAGGCTATTAATTTTAATCGGTAGAAAGATGTTTTTGAAAGTCAATTTTTGAATTGTATTTCAATATTATCCTAAGTTGTGGAACTGGAGACAAAGACTTCTTGACATATGGTAAGATCACGCTAAGTGGAGCAAATTATAGCCTTTGCTGTAGGAAATTCTGTGTTTGGTTTTCATTAATGTGTTTAATTAATGTGCATATTTAATATAAAATATAGTTTACTGTAGTGAAATGGAGTTGTTTTACTGTGAATAATCAATGGGAAAGCCTTAAAGTAAGAAGTTTGTCTTCGATGAAATTTCTCTTTCAATGGAATGAACAAGGAAACTTTTGAAATTCAATTGTACGAAACGCTTTTGTTTAATATTAGAAAAACTGGATAAGTGGAACATATTCACCGAGCGTGTATTGATAATAAACTTGCTTTCAGAGAGTCCACAAGTTGAAAGCCCTTCAGTAGTTCTATTTAAGTTGTGTTGGTGAACACTGTAATTCAGGAAGTTATAGTTCCAGTGATATATTTTATTCTGTACAAGTTATCTGAAAACGCTGGTGTCCTAGTGATTGCTCTACACAGTATTATATCATGCGGGGAGTTTCGTTCATTTAAACTATACAACGGATACAAAAACTGTAATTGATATGAATAATTCCAACCGTTCATCACTAAATCTAAGTGTAATCTAAGCTAAGTGTGAAATAACTGTCAGCGTAAATGTGTTTTTTTTTTCAAAAGTCACTCACCTTGTGATTGCTTTGAACTCCGTATCATTATCTGTTAGCTTGCCTAATCCACCTTCTATGATTGTTTGAAATGTTTTCTCATCACTAAAATCCTTATGAATACTGTCAAAAATGCGAAATTTATGTGATTTCAAATCATATGTTGTATCCAACAGGCGAGTACGTTCATTAGAAGGATTGTTTCTATACATCTGATGACTTGGAGAAATAGTTTCTGGCAATAGTGCTCCTTCGGGCGCTTTGTACTCTACGATTCCACCTAAATAAATAAGTGAAAGCAAATTAAAGCATCTACAAAAGTCTGGAAATAGGTAATTTATTCATTTAGTGATGTAAGCCTGATTTTCTTTTTAGGCTTCTTTTTGTGATCAGTTATAGGCTTAAAATCTTTGGCAGTTTAACTGGTTTATTGAAGAGCTTTTATCTTCAAACACTGATTTTATCAGGCATTGAATATCACAGTTTCTGGACAGTTTCAGAGTATTTTCTACCATTGTTTGCTAAGATACGCTTGAATGACTTAAATGTGTATTACTCAAATCACCTGCTTTTTTCCCGGAAGTCTAAGAAGATGTTACACACTAAGATAATCATCTATGCAACGAGTAGTAAGGTTCAGTTCGTATCTTGAAAAGAAATATTGACAAACACACACACACACACCATGCCGATGCCCATTAACTTAGATCATAAAGGAATAAATAAATCAGAAAATTTTTAAATAAATCTACATTTGAAAAGTAACAAACTTACTCGCTTCACAGCCTAATAACTCCAACTTCAAACACGTTTTTGTTGGCTCCAAGCTGAATGGATAGATACGCACATAACGTGCTACGAATGGTGGATCCATTGTATTGAAATTTTCTGTCATAGCGTCTTGATTCCCAGCTAAGCGCTGAAGTAAAAGTTAGTACTGTCAAGAATATGATTTCAAATCAAAAACAATCATACACAATCAGTAACTTATGTAACTACCTAGAGAAAGTATCATTAATTTTTTGAATACAGATTAACAAAGGTATAATGTTTCGTGAAATGCCATATAGTTTTATGTTATAGGTTTTCATGGATTCATATGGGGTTTGGTGGTTTTATTAAGTTGAATAGCTGTGTGAAGCCATTGGGTAAATGAAATATCATCTTTATCCTCATATTTGACAACTGCATTCTATCATTTTGAGCTTGACTGCGTACTCTATCTTAACAAGAACAATTTTTCTGTAACTTTCAGTCTGTCAATCAGTGTTTGATTGACAGAATACTCGCAGATCATGCCACAAGTGATCTGGGGCTTGATCGCCTTAACCCCGCTTGACCAGTAGTAGACCCGACAAAGAGGGAAGGTTTGGTATGGGGCCGGCACAAACGTCCCGTGTAAATAACATCACTACTACTGAAATTTCGAGCCTCCAGCTTCCGAGTGGAACACAGGATTAAAATAAATAAAATAATCTTTATTTAATTGATGGATGGTGACTAGCAGTGGAATCCAGGATGCTCATTTCGTCCTATTTGGGACTCGTCATTTGAATGTATCTGCATTTCTCAGTGAGTGATGATGTTCCCATCGAGGCTCGAACCCAGTGCCCATAGTTTCAAACGCCAAAGCGTTATCCACTAGACCACTTGGGCCACAAGAGCCATCTCTTGTGCAAAATGCGCATCCTGGATTCCATGGCTAGTCACTATCCACCAATTAAATACTAATTAAAATTGCCCAAACATCGTCGAAGCATCTGCACAAGAAGCCGACATGTCAACCTGAGACCGAGCACTTCGGTCCAATCAATCGACGGGAAAATCAAAAGCCGACATGTCAACCTGAGACGAGCACTTCGGTCCAATCAATCGACGGGAAATCTAAAATTCAATTTAAATAATCTTTAGTTTACTAATTTTTCCCTACATCTTATACGATTAAAAATATTATTGGAGTAGTTTCCATGTTATTGTTGTTGTAAAGACCATTTTATTTGGTGTGACTGTGTTCAGTACCTGCGAATTTGGGAATATTTGAAGGTATGCCTGGATAAAAAATGGCAGCTGATGATACATGAATAAATTCCTGGTGGTTTAGTGCAAAAACTTCGTCCAACTCTGTTGAGTGTCAATAAACACCTATTACTTTACAAAAATAAGCACTTTTATGTGTATGTATGTTGAACGGCGTGATAAATAAAGATCATTATCTGAGGGACCAATAAAAGGGTAACCTAACTAACTACATGCTGAAATCAAGCTAGATGGGCAAGTTTTATTCTTGGGATAGTAAAACAACTGAAGATAATGTACATTAACTTAATTAAGAGATCTTCAGTCGATGACAATGAGCTAGAATTCTATCAGCTATGAGAAAAGGTATAATATCACTTTATGTGATAAGCAAGTAATGACTTACCTTAGTCCCATTTTCTTTTTCGTAATCAAACCATGTGCTAGTCAATTCACGACGATATTTTACGTAGAAATAAGGTGTTGTCTGTCTACCCTGTAGTGTGAACAAATTGTTAAGAAAATAGAAAGACTTCATGAGAAAAAGATGCAAAATTTACGGAAATGTGGCGCTGTCTTAGCATAGTTTCATGTATGTATGCCAGCAATTCTTCTACTAACTGTCATGTAAACAACGAGTGAAAAAGTCTCATAAACGGCTAATTCTGTGTAACAGTTGTTATTTAGATGATTCAAATGCCATCAGTCTTGTTAGCTTTATTTTAAAGAATAAATGATAATATGTACTATTTGCTGTTTATATCCAAAAGAATCTAAAAACACCTTACTTACATAATATAAAAATATATATACATATATAATGATCCGAGTAGTTCTTTTAGGCAGTTGAATCTCAAATTGTTACAGCATTTAATTGATTCATACATTTATAAGCATACTGGTTTTGTGTTCTTCTAGGCGAATGTGTGGTTTTTATTCTCCTGATAGACATCTCTGCAGCTAATCTAAGTGTGAAGTGAGCCTCAGGTCAGGCATCTTTTGATGAAGTTTCGTAGATATCCACTTTTGCTGAAGATAGTCATAAGTCATCTCTCCTATATTCCTTTGAAGGCAGGAGTGTTGCACTATGATTATTAATATCTGTGTATAACTTCTGGTAAAAAACTACGAAGTACAACTGGTACAGTAGACTTTGAGAGAAGCTAAATGATACAAACACACTACAGAACTCTTGATTTGGATCATACAACTCAGAGAACACATAAACATCAAAAACATCCACCTAAGATGCAAATATTCATTAGTTTATGATGAAACCTCATTCCTATGATGTAACGAAAAACTTCTCTTCATGATGTAAAGTAACATGCGCTGGTAGAGACATAATAAACATCAGCAATCACTTGGTGGTGAGTTTTGGACGTAGGTCAGATGCCTTTTGGGAAGCATGAGCAAGATTCAGGAATATTGCATTACTGCATTAAATAGTAACAAAACCAGAAACTTCATATTGTGTGACTTCATAACTCACAACAGATTCGCTTTTGCAGTCATCGTTGAACGTTACTGAGCGGCAACCAATATGTCCTTTAAATCTCTGACTTTGCCTGATATATCAATTCTGTTCCTGCGAAGTGTCAGACGTGGTCACAAACGCTTGATAGTACCAACAGCTAAGTTTTCGCATAACTTAGTTTAAATTGTAAAACTAAATGGGTTTCTCAGTATCATTGCAACACCTTTTTGAGTCATAAAATAATGAACTTGGCCTCAGTATCTTGGGGTCACTTAAGTACTAAAGTCTAATAATCTTTTCATAACTTTTTGCCTATTTTGATGGTTCATAGTAGCTTCTAAAAAATCTACGACAAGATATTTTACTCAAATAAACACTTTTCCGTCAGAGGGTTAGATTTAACGTAAGTCCACTTGATCGCTTGTTAATAAGAACCGAAATATTAATGTATTCCTATTAAAATTAAAATTTCTGCCAAAATGACAGCTAGTCTGCAGCATTAACGGAAAAATGAAAGTAAGTAGAACATCTTTTAGATCCTACTCTAACCACTCATCTTAAACTTCATCTTCTCACTAACTAATGAAAGTTTTTTATATCCTTTAAAAAAGAGTTGAATAAAATGTATAGAAGGCTTACTTTACTTTGGGCCACACGACCTTTAGTTATAATCAGTTTGATAATACTTTGGCGACCTAGATCAATTTCCATGAATTCACGAAGTTCTGTACCAACTTTAGCATCTGGGCACCAAGCGCGTTCTTGAAGACTGGGATCGTTTGGGTCTTCACTGAAAGGTAATTAAAGATAAGCTATTAAGTCATAAGAAAATAAATTCGTAAAATGATTTATTAAATGCTTGTAAATTATTTTTTACGGATTTCTGATCAGTTTTCAGGTTGGATCTCAAACATTTAATCTTTTTCAACTTATCAGTTTTGTATTCATCATTTAGGTTTTGTTGCATAACGAGAAAACTGTTGAGTTACTGAACTTCTCAACAAAAAGTGTCTTAGGGAGGGTGTGTAGTTAAAACAACTAAGACTGACAGTTTTTCTATCCACCCTTTTAATTCTATGCTTCATTTCCTAAAAGTGATGCATAATATCAGACATCACTTTGACACTGATTGTTTTGCATTACTTATTTTCTTTTATACTAGAAATAATATGCATTAAATGTCACAGCAGTTGACTTTTGTGAAATCCAGTGTGCAACACCTGATTTTCATACCAGTGATGAAAATTTAATGAGGTCATTGTAACTGACAGTGACTTGCCACTTATTTGATGATGCGTGTATTCCTGCAATACTAGTTAGTTGTCAGAAAAAGATGTGACCAGACACTGTCACCTTATGTACAATTTACTTCATTTGTTATATAAACTATGATACCAATCATAGAATATGTTTGATGTAGTCGGGTATTAAGCCTTCATTCTTTCGGATAATGACACCACGATTTGCTGAGTAAGTAATATGTGGGCATAACAAAACAGTTCGAAAACTAAAACCACCTTGATGTGCTTGAATCTCTGCTGTTAACAAGTGTGTTTATTACTGCTTGGTATTGTCAGTAACACTACTGATTAGATAATATTATGAAGTTGTTTCTCAGCTATAAGGGATCATTTTTCTGTTACTATAGTTACCGGAATACCTTGTCATTTGATGGACACTTAATAGTTTTTTGTTTCTGCCTGGATGTAACAGGAACGTTATCAGACATTCATTTTTTGTCAAGTCAGTAGTTAGTCAAGGTTGAGCATATAAAGAAGGCCTTAAGATGTTAGATAGTAACAAAAAATAAGTGACATTTAAAAGAGTGACAGCTTTCATTGTTTAGCACACACTGAATGACCTCAGATGAATATGCAAAAACTTTAAAATGTGAACACTGACTTCAATTAATCTCTGACTGAAGTGCTTATTAGCCTTCATTTATTAAGTGCGCAGAAATGAACAGTTTACAAGCCAAGGTTTTGCTCCACAATATACAAATTAACAATTTAATGACTGTTTTGTATATTTACATGTAAAAATATCAGCGGACCTTTACAGAATTTCATAGAACACTGCTTAATAAAAAAGAATTGTATATCTTTTTGAAAATATTCTTTTCTAAAAGGTTTATTTACAACTCCCTATAAACAAAAATGTATTTGGTAAAAGAGCAGTAGCAATAACTAGTAAACTGGAATTCTTGCAAACCTCAATGAAAAGTTGTGCAGAGGAAGTAAATAAATAATAATAATAAAATACTTGTAGTGTACTAATAAAAGCGAGCTTAATGATTCATGTATCTATCCTACTTATGCTGGAAAATAACATTCCAGTACGGTACACACATGGAGTTTTTATGATTCATTTTTATGATTTCATAAAATCCCTCTCTTACACTAGTTTAGTTTGTTTAAATGGATAATTAAATTCATTTTCAGGAAGTTTTTAACGGGTAAAATTTTCTTTTTTTTGGTTTCAGCTAAACAATTATTCCGCAGTCACTATATCCTATTTAGAAGGTATAATAAAGCTAATGAAACAAGAAACAAAAAAGCGTTTTACAATGATGTTGTACTAAGATTCCATTTTCAATATCATCTGATCAAATACTAACTAACTGCTTGTTTCATTTGAATATAGGCACTTACGATCCAATTCAACAGTTAAAGGAAAATAAATACTCAAATGTGGTTAAGCAACATATTTTCTAAAATGAAAATAAAAGTGAATTGTTTTCTGCATTGTAAATAAATACTCTTTTTTTTTTTTGATTTATGAGAACTAAAACAACAACATATTAACTAGTTTCCTTCCTTTGTCATTCAGTCTACGTGAATTTTACTCCTCTCTGACTGTCTCTATCTCTTGTACTCAGTTTCTTTAGAAGCTACTTCATAAATCCTCTTTGTGTGTGGGTGTATGTGTGTACATGTACAGCTCTAACCTACCAAGTATTAGGCAGAAATGGGTTGTGCTTTTTTATCGTTATGAAAAAAAAAACCGTCAATAGACTTACGAAAATAAATAAATGTAAAAACAAAAACATAGAACCACTAGAAAAACTGTTTGGCAGTTCATTTACCAAAGAATCAGGGTACATATACATATATATGTATATATATCTTGTATGACTCATATAGTTGATTAATTGGTAAATAAATCATGTGTGGATCAAGCATCATGAAAATCAACGTGGACACTATGTTCATGACCACAGAAGTGAAAGACTTTCATTTTTCTCTTAATGCAAACTTCACTGCACAATCCTTCAGAATAATAAAAAAGGAAGCATAATCTGAGTCAGCTTCATCTGATAACACTGGAAGTGATGAATGGAAAATGTGTATATATTTTTTTTTAAAGTTATTTATTGCTCTGGTTAAATTCCCATTTACAACTTATGATAATATCCTATAAAAGTTGAGGAAATAAAGCTGGACAGTAAGTAGATTACTTTCTATTTCTATCATGGACTGAATTATAGTCTATTTACTACGACTGAAAATATATTCTGCTGTAAGGATTATTCATTATCTATTCGCAGTGGTTTAATCCATTGTTGATTGTGGGTGCTACTTCAAGATCACACACAGTCTAACAAAAATTCCCTACAAAACCAATACTTGAAAATTAATTTGATGCTCACTAGCGACTGGCCCTATTCAGGTAGTTAACATGAGGTTCTAGAGGGAAAAGGTGCAGGTTGAAGGTGAGGCAACAACTCATTGAAGAAGACATCGCGAAGTGGTCGCACTGTCATAAATTCTAGATTGATGCAGAAAATCGGTAGCGTTGGGAAAGTATTCTGAATAACATCAGTAAGGTCATTTCTACCTGTTGCACACATGCACAAATTCTGACCCATTCAGAAAATCAACATTTATACAACTGATTTACATCTTAGAATATCATGGCGAAGTAGGTGAACATGTTAAGAGAAGATCATAGTCACTGGACAAATTGTAGATATGTCTACTGTTTATGCACTAATGTTGAACACTATTTTTATATTATCGTGCCTTTTAGTCCTGTGTAAGTCAACTGTTCTTCACTATGTTCACCGAGTATAGTGCTTAAATGTGCATAACTATATCATTTAAAGATTTCTTCATTTATTGACGGGAGCTTGTGGTGTATGCTGTTGTGAGATTTTAGTCATTATATCTATGGGTGGTATATAAAGCTATCATACCAGTTTTCAGGTATATAATATTTCTTTTGGTTGTTTAAATGATAGACAAAATATATTTCAAGTTGTCATCCTTCCAGCTTAAGTCTGGTTTCACTAATCATTTGAAGTCTTAAGACGTGGGCAAACACATCAGCCTTCCTAAATGACAGACTAAATAAACTATAAAGATGAAATATACGCAGACTGCCCTTTCGAATAATTGCACTATATACAGTCTACTTGGAATTCAAATGCTTTTGAATTCTAAGTTATTTTATCACTCCACCACCCGAAATTGGTACTATATTTGTCCATCTAAATTCTTTAGAAAACGAATCTCCTTTTTTAAACTGTCAGACTTTCACCCTTTTTACATCCTTTAGAAGGAAGGATATCACTTCAGGTATAATTTTCTGATATATATATATATATTCCTTGACAGTTTGGGTGAACTCATCGTATGAGAAAATGAAATATTATGATATTAGTCTGGTTTTATCTTATATATCCGGGAAGTTGTTTTACCCGAAACTTGGCTTAAGCACAATATAAATCTACTGGTGACATTTAAAACTGTCATGAAAAAACTCGTGACGTCTGTTAGTGAAGTTGACCGGTAAACAAAAGGTACTTAGATATCATAAATGCTAAACTATACAGTCTTTCCTTAATTATTAACCACATGTATTTCCATTGTGGAATGTAGCAGTGATATTTCTGGATGTGTGTAGTGCGTTTACTAAAATATATCCAATAATTAGCAAGAATTTTGTTTGCTGCTTAGATTCTGTTTTTAGTCTCATTTCAGTGTACTGATGACCTTGAACATATCATATTCGTCGAACTACAGGACATACCGTGTATTCTACATCTGAAAGCTGTTTATTCACAAGAAAAATAAGTGTAATGAAACACATTAAAGATGATATTTTACCTTGACGTAACTGAGAAATGCTTCAAAAGTATGGGGAAAGGTATCATTTTTCAATTATCATAGTTACCAAAACGGTTTCATCCACATGAACAATGAAACACCACCCACTCATTTATTTATGTACAAGAAATAGAGATAATAGTAATGAACGCAAACCTTAATCCTTACCTTAATCCTAAACTTTATCTTGGTGCCAACCCTAACGTGCTATCAACTCTTTGTCCAAACAGTACTTAAAAATGAGACCAGAATTATATTTGCACATGATTACGGACACAGAGTTCATATTTTCCGTGTATTAACGACAGATTTCTGAGACGCAATGAGTGGTATGTGCTCAAGGTCATTGGTGTGTTTTCACTCCATAGGCACTATTCATTATCTTGGCCAGACATGAAATAAAATAATTGGAGTATTGTCATAAAGCATATTCTAATGTTAGTTTATTCAATCAATATAGAGATTAAGGATACATAACTTTTATTGAAAATGTTTAGAACTGTTTATTGCTCATAGTCATATTCAGATATGATAATGAATAATCATTTCTACCAAAAAGGTGATTAAGCGGATAACGCTGTCAGAGAAATTTAAACAAACTCATATATAGCTGTTATCATTCAATGACCGTGAACATATTATCATTCACTTTCAGATTGAACGGCATCTGCACAAAGTACCAGGCCAGTCTACTCTCGTAATCAAAATATATTTATATCAAAGTTTTGTTCTTGAGAGAATGTTTACTAATGCAACCCTTGTATTTTAAGATAAAACTTGTGATCCACTAGTGGGATAAACATGTATATAAACATAGATTCTAACAAAATACAATTTATTGGCCTTTGTTTTAACGTCAAATAAAGGCTTGAAAAATGTCACGCAATATGTGGAAGCTGAAAATTTGATAGTGTAGAACTGGTGAATATATGCCAAGCGGAAACACAGGAACAGGTGAACAGTTCTTATAAATCTAATTTAAAGATATAACTTGTCAAAATGTTCAGTGTTGCTTAGATACGTATTTTTTATCGATGACACCTGCTTAAGCTGCGATCTGTCTATTTCTAGGGAATTGGTTCTGCACGCAATATTTACCGTTAAAATCATATGCTTTTGAAATGGATTATTTGAAATTCATAAAATTCATAAAGTTGTTCATTGTAATAGCAAAATTATCTGTCAGACTCATTCTAAAACGTAGAGGAATTGTATGTTGTACTGAGGCTCTGGGGTCTGAACAACAGAATCATGATGAGTCTTCGACTGCTTTATGATTGAAGTTTATCTTGGAAAATTTTGATCTTTGTTTTATTTATCAAGTTTGCAGACTTCTGGAGCATTCATCAATTTCAATTCAGTCTCTTAAACTGAGTTGCTTTAGTCATATAGGAAAAGCAAGTATGACGAACAAGTTCCTCCACCCTTCCCTTGTCCAAGACTCCACGGTAATGCTGACTATGGACTGGATGTTAGATTTATCCTTGTGTCCAAGTAATTGCATTGTTCAGTAGAGCCGAAGAGGAGGATGGCAGAAAATAAAACAAAGTGGAAATGTGTTGTTGAAGCCCTTTGTCCCAATCCGAACCCAAGGGAACAATAATAGTTATCATAACTTATGCTTTTTATCTTCAGGCGTTTTGTAATACACTGTGACTATCATTTTATATAGTCGTTTATCGTACTTATATAACTCCCTGGAACGTTGTTTTCTACAGTAATCCTGATATATTTATCTGGAACCCAGTAACTGATGAACATTCAAACGTTGTTAAACCTTCGAAAAGTAAAAGTTCCGCATCCATCTATAATAATTTATGAGTATCCTATGCTTATATCTGAGTGGTATTAAAACACTTTGGAGGTATTATACGGAGATGTACTCAAAAGAAAATGACAACAAGAACTATCAGCTACACATTAGTCCTAGTATTTAAATGAAAAACAAATCATATATCCATTCTCTAATCATTTCAAGTAATACTTTTTCCGAATATATAATAGGCGACAACACTTGAATTTATAGTAGTTTGTTTCAAAGTTGAGTTCATCAGAATGGAAATCGCTGTTTTTGTGGAAGAACAGTAAAAATAAGCAAGCTTTGGAAAGCTGCTTAATTCTAGTTTATGAAATTTAAATGCATCAGAGGTCGACAGCAGTTTGAAAGAAAAAATTTTTTTCGTCCTCGTGAACATCTTCCACAATGGCTAAGTAAAGGTGTAGTTAAAACCATTAACAGTTCAGTATTGCACCATCTGGTCCAAACTGGCCACAAACCTGGCGTGGAAGAATCCTTCTGTATAATGTACCGGGTGCCTAATAAATTGAGAAAATCATCGAAGCACGGCATGCTCCAAACAGCAGAGGCTATTGAATTTCGCCTCGAACAACCAGTGCTCTGTGTTGAAAAGAAGCAAGTCCAGCCCCTACTACTGCATTGGCCTCCAGTAGAGACTATAAATTCATGAATTTGTAATATTATCTTTCCTAATTTTTCTGATATTCAACTTATTTTATGTTGATGCTATTGAGTTGCAATCTATCAATATTATTGGTCCGATGTTATTTAAACAACACCAATGTTGTGCATAACACTAATTCATTCATGCACTATAATGTATATATAACTGTAGAACCTGATGATGAAGTTATCGAAAAGAATATTCTTTGTTCAGTATCCATTCTTTTGAAAAAAATTCTACAAATTATCCAGTTAGTTAAATAGAAATTAGCTGCTCATAACTTCGAATGCCTTCCATTTTTTTTTAGTGAACCAACAGCTTTCTAAAAGTCCCCAGTGAGCATGTACTGTTGCAAACAACTCGATGTATTGCATCTAATACTATAAAACAGTTATTTGGTTCTGTTTGCTTTTGAACAGCAGCATCCTTCCAGTGCTGCTGGTTGGTGGCATAAATACCCTTGAAATTGTTACAAAATCCTCATAGACTCAATATCATTAAAAGTTTAGGTATGTGAATGGCTTAAAGTGTAGGTGGCTTAGTAATTACTGAATGATGACAGACTAATTTTCAATAATAGTATACCTCATATAATGAATGTGACATATATATATATATATAGTGGAAGGTGAATGGAGCAATAGGGCTGTTTTTTATCTTGTTATTCACTGTTTTTAAATGGGAAATTTAGTAAAATTAAAATGTTACATTTTTCCTCTTGCTTTGTTACTATTGTTATTTTTTTCATTTTTAAAGTACTTGGATGTGGTCACAACGCAAAATAAATAGTGTTTTTCATGTTTACTTTAGTGTACAAAACAATTCTGCAAATATCATCATAACGCTATGTGAAATTAATTCTTGCTATCATAATATCATAAGGTCTTAATAACTACGACTTCCTGAGAAAGATTTATGGTGAGAATGTTGAGGCGCCGAGCAGCTGTTTTACCATGTTAAAGCAGTGGGTAGTATTAGCTGTCTGTAGAGGCAAAATAATTCCTTCTGAAAACTTTGATGAGTATACCACAGTCAAATATTCTTTCTAGGACAGTTAGACAAAATGAACATTCAGTAATTTACTCAGAATGTAAACAAAAAAGAGTAGTCATTATGTATCACTTCATTTTGAGCAGTATTTTCAAGAATTTATCCTGATATCAGTCATTCCGATGAACTGAAAGTTAAAAATTTCACATTGACCGACCCAGAGATTTGTACACAAAAGCGTACTGGCTTATTATTTATTATTTTTGCAAAAAGTCTAATGCATCTGAGCCGTAATCATCAGACAAACATTTTTGCCAGAGTGGAAGAAAACCTTCGGAATTTTAATAAATTTTTCCATTGTACACAAAAATGACTGATTATCAACTTACCGAGCAGCTGATGCTCCATGCTGTATTGTTGCAGCACTAGAATGCTGAAATGAAGTATCAGGAACCATAGCACGATCTGCCAACAGCCGTGAATTGCAACCAAGCGTAACTAAAACAGAAATAGAACAAAATGCAAATAATTTAAATTGCTGAAGTCCATTTTCGGTGAGTTCGTTAGTCAATAGGGCTAACTGCTTGTCGGTGTCAGGGAAACATGTGTAGACTGTTTCAGTAGAAGAGACCATCGCTTCCTGAATTCAAACTTTCTGATCTCAAATTATTTGAGATTAGTATTTATGTAGAACGATTCATAGAAAACACTTTAAACATGTACTGGTTAATTAGGTGGAAAAATCACTTAACCATTCATTACTTAAAGATGTCATTTTCACTTTAAAACATCGACTGGATGGCATATATACTAGACACGCCATATACAGACATGACAGTAATCTGATGGCGCATGACATATTATCCCACCGAGATAATTGATATTACGCTGCATCAGTTTAGACACATTATTAGTGACCAGATGTCGGCGACCATACCACGTTTAAAACACAGGTTCTCGTCCGATCACCAAAGTTAGGGAGTCGGTGACACAGCGGTTAGGACGCTTGCCAACCATGCACATGGTTCGGGGTTCGATCCCCGGCCAACTCACTTCTCCACCTAGCTAACCCAGGAATAATGCTGGTAAAGAGGAGAGGGTGGGAATGAGGCTAGCAACCCCACCCTGTGAAATAAACACTGCTACAGAAACTTCAAGCCACTAGCTGAAGTCACCCTATGTTCCACTGGTCACGTGGACGAAAAAAAGTGGCCAGGTGAAACATGAATGTTGCTGACGCAGACAACGACGAGAATGAGAATATTTATTTGCTAGCAGTTGTGTGTTGTTCCTTGCTGACGTTCGGGAGGCTGAGTGGTCACATTTGAGATAACAGAATGATTCCCATTTAAGAAAATTACTTTACATATGCCCCCTACAGGTGTAACTGTTTCCTGTAGTAATTATTATCATAGTAACCACCGTAAGAAAATAAATACTCTACAAAGGTTGACTAGTTTATTAAGTCACAGTTACTGTATACAACCTAATGGTATATGGAGACTAAGGGATGAGAATTCCAATCGTAACTAAAGAAGATAGCTATTTGAAAAAAAATGTTTGTTTTGTCTAGAAAATTCATTTCACTTATCTTCTTTTGCATCTTACAGTTTTCCCTGAATACTTTCCTGATGCAAATCGGATGGATGAATAACCTGCATTGTTTTTCACAATTGATTTACGCAGTTCATCTCCAAAAATAATACAACTTAAGCCGTCATCAATTGCGTGTCTTTACCCAGAAGAAAATGATGCAATCTAATGTGTTCCATTCTCTACTGACAATATTTAAGAGGCTAGGAAAGTCATGCAACTACTGATATCCCTTTATACATTTTTTAAGAGACAATCTCATACATCGCCTTTTCAAGTCTCAGCTCCATCCTTAATACATGCACGCTAATAATTCATCAGTTTTTCTTTGGAGATAAGAAAACGCCTCAAGCAGTAAACTGGTTTGATTGATTTTCGTCAAACTCAGACATGATTCTTCTCTTGTCAAAACATTTTTATCCCTTTTTTTCTGACTATTCGATGTATAGATTTTAATATAAGGTTAGATTAATAAAGGAAATATATGATTCAACTCTCTAGATTATGTATATATATATATTGAGGTCAAGTATTAGCAATAAAATTTCTCTAGGGAATAGAGAAAATACACATATTCACATCCTCCTTAATAAACCTCTGAAATAAACAAAACGCTTAGGAAAACATGCTATAACAGCTTATTAGTGTTACGGTTGTGAGAAAAAAATATAATGAAAGATAATGAAAGGCAATATCCAACACTTAGTTGTACACCTTCGCACACATACGCACACACACACACACGCTGACCAGTCATCGTCACCTTACCACTAATTTATTCTTTTTCGTATTCTATGCTTTTAAATAGCCTTCTAGAAATATCAAACACTGCATATTAATGAATTCATTAAGGGAGAAAGAGAAAAATAGACGATATAAAGCATGTGAAACCTATTGCTATAGTTACTAGATGAAGAGGAAGTCGACTGCTGAAAGCAGGAAGTGATTGTAAACCACAGCTTAGGCATAAAACGAATAAAGTAAATGAATCATCACTTTATTTTCGTGGATAATTTTCTTCTGGGAGTAATTATTGTATTCCTCATAGACAGACAGGTGAATGATAGATAACCATATAATCGATATAGAATCTCTGTAGGTAGCTTCAGTAGATGGACACTGAGATTTGGTGTAAACATTCAGATTATAATATCGTGGAAATCTCTGATATACTTTGTGAATAAGTATATACTCTTTAATCGATGACTGGTGTATCCCTGCATTTACGGAAAGGCAATAAAATAATGAAACCGGAAGGACATTGTATATTTCTGGAAATCAGACAAGATGTGAATATAACAAATGTTAACTACAGTTTTCAGCTGAATTAAAAACGAATCCCTGTACATAACTAGGCTACAAATAGTGACTCAAATTCATGATTCGTAGATTGATGACTTGGTGTTCAAGAAATGTCAACCTGAATGTTTGACCACTATCTTACTGCTTTATTAGTGTAGAACTTTGCGATTCCACGTATCAGTCTCCCTAGGTCATTTACTGTAGACATTTTCTCAAATTCTTATTTTCTACCTGAATCTAAAGGTATTCTTTCAAAAAATCTCTTCTTAAACAGCACTAAATAGAACTCTGCACCGAAGTTCAGTGGTTCAAGTTGGTGCACTGCATAGAAGGACATAAGAAAAGAAGTAAAATGCAATGAGACTACAGTGAGTGAAGATCTACGGGGGAGAGAGAATGTTTAAGCAAGGTATGATACCCTGGATTATGGTGAATCTTGGTCCTTGCTTCTGATTTATATGGTTATTAAGGTCATTTTCTAAAAAAAAACTTAATTCATCTTTCAGATAAAATTATCCCCTAATTAAGTGTTTGTATTGCTTACTGTTCACTAAAACAAAACATGAAGAACAAAGTAACTTGGCTGTTCACATAAAATTCAATTTATTTCAGTTGACTGAGACAAAGAAACATCAAAGTTGGCTAATTTCGACTACAGTGATTGAAAGAAAGAAATAATTATTGTTGATTGTTTAATTTTTATTAAAAAGTCAAGTAAATTGTGTTCTTTCGAGCTATCTATATATCTATTTATAATCTTTAATAATTTTGCTTCTTTGAGGAAGCAACAAAAACCTAGAATCTCCATCGGATATTGTGTCGTAATAGGCACATTTTTGTTATTTCAACAAAATGTCGATGTATACGAATTTCTACTTTTGCAATAAAATAACAAGCAAATTCATAAAGCTCAGTACATAATATTATTATTATATCCTTTAATTCCTAGAGGAACATAGGACTTCAGCCACGCGTCTCCATTGCTTTCTGTTTTCTGCCAACTTTTTCACCTCGCTACAAGTCTGCCCCACATGCTTTCATCTCTCTTCATATGACCTCCTCCAAGTCACCCTTCCACTGGCGACCAACTCGCCGCCCACTTCCCTTTCGGGTTCCACTCGAGCGATGGCTTGTCTAGTGATGCCATTCACTTGATAGTTTCCTCAGAGTATGGCCAGCCAATCCGTCTCCATTTCTTCCTGCCTATTTGTTTCACAATCGGTTCCTGATTGGTTCGCTCAGTGCCAGAGATCCCTGTTGCTGATCTTTTCTGCCCGCCATCTGATCTTGAGTACTGAGCGAAGACAACTTTTGATGAAGGTTTGTAGTTTGTTCGAGATGCTCCTCATGACGCGCTGGCCAAGTCTCTGATCCGTATAGTGAGTAGCACTGACTGACTTCACATTGGAGTTGAAAATCTGGATCTTCTTTTTGATGCTGAGTGCTGTTGACCTCCACACAGACTTGAGAGTAATGAAAGCTTGTCTCGCTTATCCGATTCTGGCTTTGATATCCTCGTCAGTTCCGCCCGCTTGTAGTTGAAACGATGCTTCCCAGATAGGTAGGTAGGTAAAGGAGGTTGTTTCTTTCAGGTTCCTCTCATTTATGCTGGCTGATTGTTGTCTGCTGTTGCTGTTGCTGTTGGTGTTGGCCAGGAATCTTCATCACCGTTGTTTTCTCTATGTTCACATGAAGGCTTATCTTCTCTGGATGCTTCTTCTGCCAACTTGTTGCTTTTCACTTGCATATCTTCCAGTTTGTGGGAAATCAGATATATATCATCGGTGAAGTCCAGATCCTCCAAGTCTTTTGTGTCAGTCCATTTTATGCCTGTTTCCTCATTGCCCGCTGTTTGTCACATTATCCAATCTACTGCAATCAGGAAAATCATTGGCGATAGTAGACAGCCAGCTTGTCTTACTCTCGTCCTCACTTCGAAGGATTCGTAAGTTTCCCGTTGTGGATTACTTGGCATGGACCATTCTCGTATAACTGTTGGATGAGATGTATAATTGTCGGTGGCACCTCGTAGTAGTACATAGTATACAATGAAAAATGTGCAAAGTGTATGATCTTGAATAAAAGACAGATAGGAACAATTTTTAGCTTATTTACGTCTCTAGACACCAGGTGTAAGAATAATCGAACATTGTCAAGACAAAAATTCAATTGTACTAAAAACTGAAAATAGCGCTTGTGCAGGCAGTTGTAGCAGATTCTCGGTATGATAAACTGCAGTAGTTCTGTTGATCTATCTATCTGTACAGATAGTGAAATGAATTTATAACTTATTTGAATGAAAACAACCTTAGTTATAACTGACTGAACTGAACACGTCATCTCTAAATTTTGAAAGGAAGTCCAGACTGCTTTGTAATACCAGATTTATGCAAGACTGAAGAGATATACACACACGAAAATCAAAGATATAGCTACCATAATAACGAAAAAGCAATTAAAATCAGACTCAATACATCAAAGTCTTGTTCTGTTTTCGTATACTCCAAAAAGTGATAAATAAAGCTAAATAGATTCGTATGTGTCTAAGCTGCTGACTTATTTTTCTTAAATGAAGTTATTAAATAGAATAAGATATTCAAATG